GAGAAAATGCTGAGGTAAAAGCGAGTGTGCAGGCCTTGCTTTAAGTCAGAATCTCTGCTAGGCCTAAGTGTTGACTGCATCCCATTCTGGAGGGGAAAATGGAAGGAGGTTGCTCCAATTTGAGGTCAAGGTGTCGTTTTACGTGTCATTACTGTGGTGTTGGTGGTTACTATTGGCTGCAAGTGTCTGTCAGGGCAGTCAGGGTGTGGGAAGTGTCCCTGGCCCAGCACTGGACCTCCCATCTGTCTCCCCCACTGGCTGTTGCCAGCATCTCCTGGATCCATCCACTCAGCCCTGCATCAGTGGAGAGGTGCCGAAGATGTGGGGACTCACGTGGCAGGGTGTTGGTAGCCTTTGCAAACTGGTTATTGGCCCACAGCGGCAGGCCAGGGAGTCCTTGGGCCCCTCTGAAATTGATAGGAGCTGTCTTAAGGCCTGCAGTCAGCTCTACCCCTCAGAAACTAGGACTGCATCCTCTATTCCTCAGACATTGCCCAATCCCAAATGGAATAATCAGTTCGCACATCAGATTGCACATCCAAGCCCCACACCATTTGTGGCAAATGGCGGAAATGACACACACTGATCTGAGGTGTCCATAAATCAATGGGTTAATATGGAGAAGGTTGTCTGTGCCTGTGAGCACACGTGGATCCACGTTCCAAGGATGTTGCAGTGCAATGAGTGTTTTGCTTGATGTAGGTTCACATAGCTCTGCATTTCAGAGTGGTATGAAATAGAACATGGAGAAAATGAAATAATGGGACACTTTCTTTAGGTGTAAGTAAAACTTTGTGGGCCAACGTTCACTGCTTTGAAAGGACCTAAATTGCATTCAGACCTTGGGTTTTGTTCCTTTTATTTCAGGATTTTGGTACATTACGTTATAATTTAAGCACAAACATGATGAAGAAAGCAATCGTGTCATCCAGAGCAACATCAGATCTTTCAAATAACTCAGTAAACCCAGAGTTACAGTCAACCTTACTGGGGATCTCTAGGTTTTCAAAGGAATGTTAGTATGAGGAAATGTTTATCTTTATTTTTATAATTTCTATTGCTACTCTTGTATGTGAAGTGATGACACTAAGGGCCTTAAATTTCTTTATACCAGTGTTCAAAGAAAAATTTAAATTAGGGTATGAAATTATCAAGTTTAATGTAAGATATTTGCTAGGGCACATCACGATGACACAACAGATCTGCTGAATTGTAAAATTTTAGAATTTTTTGGCACAATGGAGTATTTCCTCTTCTGTTAGAAATAGTGCTTTCATTGTCTCAGGTTGTATGTGTGCTTACGTAGCTGTGGTGGGTTGGCCTTGTCTGGATGCCAGGTGCCCACCACAGCTCCTTTCTGCCTGCTGGCAGGATAGGGCACAGGAAGTGTGACCAAAGGCTCGCGGGACAAGATGCGGACTGTCTTGGCAAAACAGTGGTGGTCCACCTTGGGGCCAGCTGGCACTGGCTCTTCTGGAAGGGGAAACTTCTCACAGAATCCACCCCAATAACCCCCTGGCTACCAAAACCCTGCCACACGAGCACTGTGCAATAGGATGAAATGCAGCTCCCCACGCCTGGAGCCTTGGTACCACGGACAACATTCTTGCAGGAACAGCCAGGATCCTGCCAGCCTCACCAGAGCCCTTCTGCTGCCTTCTTTCTAAAGCACTTTCTTACACCACCCTGTTGAGATGAAGACAGTTACTGAACTGCCACCATGAAAATCAGATTTTACCCAGTAGTGTTGTCATTTGTACCTCAAAGCTGCTCTGGTGGTTTTCTTTTTTTACCTGAGTAATCAAAACAGTTTGACCTGAGGCTTCCAAAACTCTTAACAAAAAAACACCTTGCTAGGCTTGTGTAGCTCACAAGAAATTAGGCAGGTAAAATGTCCTTTGGGAACTGAGTTTGAATAACATCTAATACTACCTAAAAGTCCAATATTTTTGATCTACAGAGTTGTTATTGCTGCAATGACGTGGTAATATATGATGCTCGCCTGCAGGCCAGTAAATACTGTTTTGCCAGTATTAATAAAGAGCCACAAGGCTTTCAAAGCCTCAGGACTGAGGGATGTCAGATTTGTTTTGCTTGAACTCACATAGGCTTGTCTGGAGCTCTGTCTTAACTTGTTTAGATGTAGCATCAATTTTCCTTAGGAGGTGGCTATGCCAAATTTCATTTACTTTAACCTCTGTGCTGAAAACCAGATTTGATCTCAGCCGTAGTAACAAGCAGTCATTCTGTGGAGAAGGAAATATTTATCACTAATGCGGAAATACAGGCCTAGCATGACAGCAGAGGCCCTGGAATCAATGATGTGTATGGAGACACGCATGCAAACACACAAGAGCAGCTTCAAGCTTTGTAGAAACTGGAGTGCTACACAGCATTTGGAACCCACATTTTGATTATATTCAGGAAAAGTAAAAGCAGATTCCACTTGGAAAACTACTCAAACAGCCCTGGCTGCATAATCTACAGTTCTGCAAGTCATTGTATAGTTACAGATCACACTGTCATTCTTAGCAACTCAATACATTTTAACTGGAATTTCAATTTTTGTCTTCATGAAGTTACCACACATTTACAAAAATATAATCATGTTCAAATGGATAAAAAAAGGGAGAAAAAAAATTACTAGAAGGTTAATTAAGGTGTGGAAAAGCTTGTTTGTACAGGCTGTGGAATCTTCACTCCTAGGGCCTTTTGACACCAAGCTGGAGAAAGTCCTGAATGATGTGGTTGGATTTCAGTATTGACCTTGCTTTGAGTAGGAACCAGACTTGACTTTGACTGGACTTGACATTGCTGCCAAAGGATCTCCCTCCTTTCCCACCCGAATTAGTCTGTTGTTTTGGTTCATACTGGTACTGCTAAACCACTTTTTTTCAATCTCTGTAAAAGCAAAGAACTTCTAAGCTATGGATTTCAACACAAAAACATGATGCATTGGTGTTGAGGAACTCTATTGTTCAAAACTATACAAATTAAACGTCTTGGAAAGTAAAAAAGTAACATATTATTCATACATTTTGACTGTAGATATGATGGTGGGAGAAAGTGAATTTATTTATTTATTTATACTTTGTCTTAGAAAAAACACAGAAAAAAACCCACACATTTTTTATCAGCTTGACTTGCATGTTGCTGTGTTAAACCTCTGCTCTAGAGGTGTTCAGCTTTAGCAGCCTGGTCTAACAGGGTGAAGAGACTTTAGAAGAGTTTTTCTCTATTTTTGAGGGGGATTTTGTGCTAGGAGGAGAAGGTGGGCTGAAAAGCTATGAGATATTAGTTATTTCAAGTGAAACAGTTCTCGTCAATTGTTCAGTGTAACTAAAGAGTACATAGTTTCCTCAGCCTTCTCTAAGCAGAACTGGGAACAGTGTTCCTTAGTTCTGAGAGGAAAACATATTTGAAGTTCTATCATTATTTTACCATCTGCTGAATGATGTGCAGATTAACAATTGGAATGTACTAGAACACTGAAAGGGAAACAGGAAGGTTTGCTACAAGTTTCACAGATCTGCTGCATAAAAAGTTCTCTGTAGTCATTACCCAGGAGTGAACTACAAGTCAGGCCAATTTAAACAGGATGCAGCAGCACAGCCACCGCAGGCTTGCATTTACAATTATCTTTCCATCTGCTACAATTGCACGTTTACCAGCATACCTCAGAAAATCTTCTGGACTTTATACAAACCACAAGCCACACACAGAACTGGTTAGGCTGGCCAGCCTCAGGAAAAAAAAAAAAAAAAAAACAACAAAAAAAAAACCAACAGAAAAAAAAAAACAACCAAAAAAACCCCCCAAAACAAAACAGTACTGCTGGTGTTATCAAGAGAGAAAGTACACTGCTCTATTTGCACACTGTGTCAATTATTCCACCTGTTTCCCACTTCATAGATGTTTCCTAGCTTATACTTATGGCAGCTATAAAAATGCAGTAACAGATCCTGTAAGAAATTGCTCCTACATTTCTGCTTTTCTCATAGACCCCTTTAGAAGATCCTTTTTTACCCAACTCCTTCCCAAACTCATTTGTACAAATTTGGATTGTCATCTGATCGACCTAAGGAGACTGCTGTGAGCACCCACAATGGCCAGGTCTTTGTCCCAGCTGTCAGTGTTCAGTCACCAAACATGCACAGCCAGGACCCTCCAGGTGCACTGTGCACACAGCGCCAGGTCTGTCATGAACACTCAGGAAAATTGAAGGGGCCTTGAGGACTTTATGGACTGAAGGCCTTGCTTTTTCTATGGAGAGGTGTGGGAAGCACCTGTCCCTATGGACCAGGTTCCAAGCACGTTTTCTCCGTGGCTGGCTCCAGCACAGCCTGGGTGTCCCTGGGTGCTCCGGCTCCTCAGAGCCACAAGTCCTCCGGGCCCGGCACTGCGCCTCTGTGGGTCCCACAGCCTGTGGCAATAGTGACACAGGCAGGCACAGCTTTTGCCAGCCAGCAAACAGCGCATTAAATATGGTGACAATTGAGAATTCATCAGTCAAAACCGGGGATTTCACTCTCTCTTAAGATCACAGCCTGTATCCTCCAGAACAAGGCAGGCTTCAGAGCTGCCTGTGTGGCTGCGGGGTAGGTGGCAGGAACCTGTGCATCCTCAGTGCTCCCGCTGATCATCCCCTCACAAATTGTAGTTACGGCGGTGTTCCCCTCGGCCAGACACAGCTGTTGCCCCGAGCAGCGGGTTCTGCCTGTGCCAGCCACGCCTCAGTTCACGGGAGGCAGGCAGGGACAAGTCTCTGTAACTAAAGGCTGAGGAGAGTGCATTTTGAGAGCAACACTGCTTAGGATTTAGTGTGAGGACAAGCTTCCAAGTACTGAAGGAAGGGGAGGCTCCCGCCGCCCTCGGGACCCGCCCCGCGCCTCCCCAGCCGGGTTCTGCGCGCACTTCCCGCCACCTCCGCTGGGGGCGCCAGTCTCGCGAGACCTGAGGCAGCGGCCTCGCGCCGGCGCTCGCGCGGTTGGCGGCGCTTGGCGGGGCGGGCCCTGCGCGGCCATGGCGGCGCCGGGCGCGGAGGAGCTGCGGCCGGGCGGGCCGGGACCCGCGGGCGGCCCGGGGCTCGGCCTGGGGCTCGGCCCGGGGCTCGGCCCCGTCCCGCCGCATCCCGTCCCGCCGCACCCCGGCGTCTCGCGGCGGCGCGGCCGGACGCTGCTGGTGCGGCACCTGCCCGCCGAGCTGACGGCGGCGGAGAAGGAGGATCTGCTGCAGCACTTCGGGGCCGTGTCTGTGCGCGTCCTGTCCGACCACGGGCGGCTGGTGAGGGCCGGGGCCGGGCAGGGCCAGGGCCGGGCAGGGCCGGGGCCGGAGCCGGGCAGGCGCGGGGGTCCCGCTCCCGGGGAGCCCCTCGGGGCGGCCGGGGCAGCTCCGTGTTCCCGTCCAGCCGCCCGGGCCCTGTGCCCGCGGCTTTGGCCTCTCGCTGCTGCCAGCGAGCTGCGCTTTAGCCGTGCAGCAGGGCCTCTTGGCCCGCGCAGGGATGCGGTTTCACAGGTCTCTTGAGATCTCTGCTTTGCTTTCGTCTTCCTCCAGATTACGAAAACATGAATGCATTTGTTTTGTGATAAAGATAAAATTTTTCTCTTCATAAAGAGCCTTGTGTTTTGCAGAACTGCAGGTGGATGATGTCTGCATATTTTATCAGGGTCGCGCTTTATAGGATATCAGATGTGCTGATTTTGTTAAAATGATTTTGGGCACAGAATCATGTAGTGGCAAGATGGGGTAATGAAGTTTGTTAAAACAAATTTAACTTTGAAAGGTGTATTCTGTGAGGATTTGATTTAATATGGAAAATTAGGGGGAAAAGTAGAAACCATTGAAACGTTCAGAGCACAATAGTTACAACATCTGTAGTAGGAAGAGCATTACTTTTAGTAAGAGTTACGTGGATGAAAATGTTTTGTGCTCCAACGAATTTTCTGGTTTGGAAGAGGATTAGACCTCTTTATGTCCTTTCTTCCAGTTTAGAATGGTTTTTTTCTCGCTAGAAAAAAAAAATGTCCTGTATTCCTCAAACTGCTGAGGTCATGTCTAAATTATGACAAAGGAGGTACTTTTCCAAAATTCATAAGAAAAAATGTTTTCTTTCATGTTTGCCCCAGATGGAAGTTAGATGACTCCCATCTGGTAACTTTCAAATATATAAGCTTAAACTAACAAAGTGCTTGTGGCTCAGTGTTTTACGTGCGATTTCTTACATTTTTGATTCAAATACATTATACATTTTTGTTTGTTTCCTAGAAACATACTGCTTTTGCCACCTTTCCAAGTGAAAATGCTGCTGCAAAGGTTTGTATTGAGTCTGTTATTGCATGTTTTAGCAAAGCAGTGAGTTGTCAATGCTCTAATGTGGTTTACACATCATCTGGTACTTAGTGCTAGGAAAAAACAAAGCAGTACAATGTAGTATGAGAGTTCTGTTTCAGGATTTGCTTGCAGGACTTGATGAAATTCTTGAACACTTTTGTAGGTCCTAGGAAGGGTAGATTGAAAGGGGTTTGTGCAAGTCATCTGATAACAGCCTGACAAAGTTAGAAAAGCTGAGACTGATCAGAGCACTGTTTAGGATGTGCATGCATTTATATGCAAACTATAAATCAAGCAGAGTTTCCTTGTCTCCTGTGTAATTGTGTGTTTGCCATAAAAGTCAGCCCTAGTGATTCTCACAATCCAAGTCTGACTTGAATGCCCAGTTTTGATAAGAAAACTACTGTATTAATAGAGGATATGGATGCCAAAAAGATAATATTAATAATACTTTTTAAATACTACTCCAGTTAAAAAGCCTGTGTCAGAACTTTTTCCTTATACCTTGGGTTTGTTTTGTTTGTTTTTTGGTTTTTTTTGCATAGCTTCTGGGGTTTTTTTGGCCACACTTTAAAGGACTAAAAAAGTTAAAGACTATGTGAGGTGAACAGTGGTGAATTAGCTGCTTGTACCAGTTGTTAGCAGCCTGCTGGGCTCTGGACTTGAAGAATGCTGGATCTTCGTAGTGCCATTGTTAAGCTCCCGGTTTTAAAATTCCTAGCTGTTACTGACAGAATTTAGCATGCTTATGCTGCAGGAGCAAAAAGTTGGTTACTTGAAATTCCACCAATTTAGTAGGCTGTGTGCAAGTCTGATTGGTAAGGCTGCTGCTGTGTTCAGGTGACCAACCTCTGCAGGTGCAGCCTGGACTCTTTCTTTCCTGCCAGCAGGAAATGCTGCTAAAAGCAGGGCTGGGAAGACACAAACAGTGCAGAACTCTCATGTCCACAGTAGCACAGGCTTAGCTTAAAGGAGCTGGGACTGCATCCTGTGGCCAATGTACCTCTCAAAGGAAAAACAGTTATGCTTTAAAATAAATCTCATGTTTGTCCTCTTCCTTTTCTTTTCTCCCCTGTAATTACTTGAAGGCTTTATCAAGATTGCATCAGCTGAAACTTTTGGGTCACACGTTAGTTGTTGAATTTGCAAAGGAGCAAGAGAGTGCACAGGTACTTAGCCAGCCTTCTGTCTCAGACAAGTGCAAAAGGTATGTGCAGAGTAATTTCCTTGTGTTTGTGGTCAAGGAAAGGGGATTCTGGATTCATGATACTTAGGTGGTACTTGTAACTCAAAGGATGAATTGTGACGACTTGGAAGCCTTACAGCAGGCTCAGATCTATAGGACAGTGACTGCATTCCTCCCAACAGAGCTGTGTCATTTGCACCTGTGGAGCGTGCAAATAAGTGATAAAAGCTATGTGATAGTGCTTAATTAAAAATAGTGTAGTACAGTTTTCAAGTTATTTATTCCACTTTCTGAATATGAGCAAATCAATAATTTAATACCTTTGAATTTATGGTCTCTGAAGAGAATGCATAATAAATAATTTCAGTTCTTTTCCTTTGATTGAATTTAAGTCAGGAGTGTCTGAATATAGGAAGACTGACTTTAATCTACATAAGTATTTATTTTAGAAGACTGTCACTACTGTCATTATCCTCATATATTAATTATGAAGAATTGGTAACAGCTATAGTAGTGCAGTTGGTAAAAAGTGTTAAAAATACCTGTGCTAATTTATTTTTATATTTATTAATAGATGATGCATCGTTTAAATAATATATAAGGCATACTTAATTTTTGCCCTGTTTTAATTAAGACTAAATTAATTTTCAGTTTAGAAGAACCAGTGAAAGAAGAAGAGAAGATAGAACCAAGCTGTGTTAAAATAGAGAATGGAATTGCACCCAACCATGGGTTAGTGTTGGGTTTTTATTTATCTTACTTTATTCTGTTACTGATTATTTTGAGCTCTGTTATGTACTGAACAAGAGTTTTGTTTCCTCCTATGCTGCTGTTCTTCTGGCATAGCTGTAGGAATTGTCATAAAGATGGAGTTTCATTTCCTCAAGTTTAGAATCCTCACATCTGCATAGTGATTATGGATTGCATAACGGCCTTCTAGCACTATGCGTTGCTTTCCTGGGAGGTTGGAGGGCTGAGGTTCTCCCAGTGTTAACAGCAGAATACCACTGACTTTTTCCTGATGATTCTTCCTTTTTCCTCCCCCCCCCATTTTCATTTTAGCGTACAGGAAGTAGTAAATTTTTTGAAGCTAATGCAGCCCTTTGAGCATTGAGTTTCTGATATTTGTGCAGGCTGGGCTGCTATGCTGTAGTTTGGTTTTGGATATGTTGGTTGTTTCTGTTTGCTTTAGGCTTCTGCATGGCTTGATACTTTCAGTATGCCCAAGCCCAGTAAATCTGTCATGCACTGGGGACTACTTCACGATGTCAAAGGCATTTTAAGTGGCCCAAAACTGTTCTAGGGGGAGTAATAATATTTCAGTGTTACTTCAGATGCAATCAATAGTTAAGCCTCTAGTAATCATTAGTTGTTACTGGTGATTAAGTCGCAGTAATGTTAAGGTGTCTTGTTTTCAATCTTTTTTTCCTCAGCCTCACCTTTCCCATCAATTCTTGCCTCAAATATTTGTATCCACCACCTTCAAGTGCAATTCTAGCAAATATAGCAAATGCCTTGGCAAGTGTGCCCAAATTTTATGTCCAGGTAAGTAAAAAACAGAACAAAAGAGTATAAAATTAAAGACATTTAATTTTTCCTCTTTTAATTATCCACAGAAGTAATTATTTTTGTCATTGCAAATACTAAGTTGGTTTTTCTGTGACAGTGCTAAACAGTCTGAGTTTTTTACTATGCTGAGGTAATGAGATTTTATGAACCTGAGGTAGATTACTTAATTGACATTGAAGGCTTAACTGGATATGCTCTTCCTAATTAGATGTGACTTGAGTACCTGGAATTTCATTCTGAGAAGATGCTGTACTTTTTTTATTAGCCTTGTTAGGGTGTTGCTTATATTGACTGTTAGTGTTGGATCTCAAGTGCAAGTTTTACATTGTTCATGGATATCGAAACTTTACTGATTTACACCTGCCAGGAGTGATAGGCTCTTTTACCTAGCAAGGAACTGTTATCACTTACTTATTCAAAGGAAACCTACTTATTTTGACTCATTTCAGGTACTCCATCTGATGAATAAAATGAATCTTCCTCCACCTTTTGGACCAATCACTGCTCGCCCTCCCATGGTAACATTTTAAATATATGTTTTCAGTACTGTAGGATTGAGTCACAATTTAAAATGTTAGCAGCATAGTAGGAGAGCTAAATTTCTAGAGGAGTGCAAATCCTGCTGCATTTCACTGGGTATGTGTTGGTCTTTTAAAGCAATTTATTTGCACTGTACTTAGAATAAACCAGCTATGGTACAGCACTGGAATGTTTCAAACTGTTGGTTCACTGTTGAAACTGAGATGGTTTTGGAACCTAAGCCTTCACTGATATGCTTTGACTGTATTCTTCTCAGGAAAGTCCTTGAAGCTACATGCAGAGTGAAAATCCAAGGCCATGGTTGCTGTATTTTTTATCATCTCAGCTTAAAAGAATTAAACCATTCACAGTTATGCTTCAGATTTTTTTTGCTCGTGGAAAGTTTTTCATTAGTAATGTAGTTTACCAAAATAGTATTTAGATCCCTTTAAGCATACTTGGAGAAAATACTTGTTAAGGGATCATTAATTGCTTTGACTGTTGTTATTAAGAAAACAAGATATGTTTAGGTTTTTTCCTTTAAAAATTTTACTTTTTTAAACTTTTTCCCCATAATTAGTACGAAGAATATTTACCAGTGCCTGTGCCACCTCCCCCAATCCCACCTCTGCCTCCTGAAGAGCCTCCTTTGCCTGAAGAGGAAGAAGGACTGTCTAGTGGGGATGAATCAGAATATGAAAGTGATAATGATGAGGAAAAGGAGAGGTATGCATTTTACAGTCATTTGCAAGGTTTTGGGCTCACTGAAAGGGTTGATTTTACTTCTCCAGCTTCTAGTTCAGTGAGTGGTAATGTTTGCAGTATATGCATGTAGCATCTCATAGAGATTATTTAGAAATCTTTCCAGATGCTTGGAGAAACTTCAGAGTTCAGAAGGACAGTGCAGGTTTAAATGCAGTAAGAAAAGGAAAGTGGCCTATTGGTGTGCAAGTTTTTGTTTGTTCCCATATCCAGAAAAACCCAACTAAACAAAAACTCAGCTTGAAGGGTGCAGATGTATGGAAGCAGAAATTAGATTATTTTCTGAAGTCTTCATTGTTCCACATCTCTCTAAATTGACTCCTCAGCCTGAATCGTATGTGCACACCAACTTCCAGAACATTCTTTATACATCAGCGGGTATTACTAGGGTGTTAATATTTGTGCTGAAGATTCTCTTGCAGTTTTGGGAGTGAATTACATCATAGATGTGTTTTTTTTAGTCTTTAAACTAACTCTGAATTAAAAAGTAGTTTTTTTCTTTGCTGTCTAAACTGAGAAGTAAATCAGAAAGTCCCGTTGCTGTATTTGGAAAAACACATCATTTGGAAAAAGGTACCCCTGTTGAGTGTTACAAAATCAGGTTCAGCTTGGGGCATCACAGCTTCTCTCACAGCTTCAGTGTCCCAGTAAGGAGCATGCTTGGGGAAGGAAGGGCATCACTGACATGTTCAAATTATGGTCAGTTCTTAAGGGCTCTGTGTATATTGATTTGCTGTGTGTTACAGCTTCAGTTTTAAGGTAGCTAGTTTTACAATTATATTCTGAAAAGTTCTATGTCAAGGGCTTTAAGGAAAGGGGAAGGATTTTTGAAATTAGTACTTTCAAATAAACTGTAAACATCTGTTTTGTTTTTATTTTTGTTTTTATTTTTGTCTAAAATAGAATGACCAAGTTGATGGAATTGGCAACCCTTCAGCCTAAAAGACCAATAAACACAAAGAAACGTGGTGTTAGAAAAAAGCAAAGAATTAAAGACATGTTGAATGTTCCTGTGTGTACTTCCCACAGGTTTGTAGTTTTTGCACTTATCCTATTGGTTTTATTGCCCTAAAAATCCAAATTTTCCTCTAGTTTGAACTAAAGTGTGCTCAACAACCTTAAAGTGTGCCTGAATCAAGCTCTGTTTCCCTTCCTGTCAAACCAATAGAAATTCCTTTTCCTAAAAAGATAACTAGTTTTACATCACAGCTGTGACTGAAGCAATCTGGATTTGTTTGGGCTGCTTCTTAAAAAATTAAAAAGTACAACACTGGAGGAATAGAAACTGTCTTGTTTTAAAGTAAGTTTGGTCTTAGAACTAGAGTTCTGTGCCACAGTAGACAGCAGTGCACTATTTCTATGTTGTGATGAATGATTGTGAATGCATTTTTACTAATGGCTGCCTGCTTCCTCCAAGTGATTTGCTACATTTTTTTAAAATGTCATATATTTTATGTACTAGGTGACAGCATCAGCAAGGCCAGTTAATTTTCATGCTTAAGTTACTGATGAAGGCTTTAATAAATACCTGTGTGTATGTCCTGTGGTACGTGATTGTTGGTTTTGCTCCCACTGCCAGACATACCTTCTGTATATGCAGTGTTGTAATCACCTATAACTCTTGGGTGAAATATATGAAAATGGAGAACATGTGTTTGTGGTAAACAACTGCATAAAATCTAACTGGAAGAAATCTTGTGTTTGACCATGCATTCATCAGTGTCGGAATCTTTAATTAACGTGTTGTTGTTTTAAACAGTAACTCGCACCCTACACTGTCACCTTCAGATGTCTTTGAGCAGCTGCAGCACGTAGGTCATAAAAAAATAGAGTTTCATATTAGTACTGAGATCCCAGCTGTTCAGATAAACTCGGAAAAAGAAGAAAAAAGTGGTAAGAGAGTTTGTATTTTAAATGTATTTAATGTTCAAGTCATGTGGCTTCAGTATATAAAAGGGTGCTGGAATTTGCACTAGGAAATTTTTTTCCCTTACTGTATTGGAGCTTTCAACACCAAGTTGCATCATATTTGTGTTTGCTGTTTTTTCCGTGTTACAAGCTTTGGAAAGGATCCAGAGAATTTTAAAGGTCTCTCTCCCATGTGCTCTATAGGGTGAATTGCACTGTCTTTTAAATGTTGGGATACAAATGTTACAAATTTTCAGTATTTTGTGGTGTAAATGAATATATCAGGCTAGTTTCAGATTTTGCTTTTCCAGATTTAGAGAGCAGCATCCAAGTGATTGCCAACCTCTTTTCTCTAGTGCACTGATTATCTGCCATAAAAGTGCTGGGCAATGATAACAGTGAGGTGTGATGGCTTTTTAGAGGGTTATGGTCAATCTGTGGTTCTTGCTACTTTACAGTAATATCCAGTTTATTTTAGGGAAAATAGAGAAATGGATACAGGATTGAACAGCAAGGCAAATTTTATGCTAACTAATGTGTGCCAAGGCCTTTATTTGTGCTACATGGGGTTTTATAGGACCATACAGAGCAGGTGCTTTTGTCAAACCAGGGATTAAGACTCATTTTTAAGTGTGTATTCAAATTGCCTTACAAAGTCTGCTCTACCGTCAAGTTGCTGGAAAGAGTATGGTTTTCTTGCTGGCTCTTAATCTTGGTGTCAATAAAGGTACAAACCACTTACATAATTTGTTGAAATTTCAGATCTTCATGCAACCACGGAAGAAATCAATAATACAGGCTTTGGAAGGATTTTCCCAGCTCCTAGCTCGAATGATAAAATGGAAACTGAAGAGGAGGATGATGAAATACCATCAGAATTTATTTCTAGAAAGGATCTAGAAAAAAATAGACTTTCTAGAGAAGGTATAATTGTGAGAATAGATTATCTATTAACAGCTTTTTGATTTGTTGCAACAAATAACTTAAATAAGTGCTTATTTTCTTAATTGAGCATATAGTAAATTATTTTATACTGAGCAAATGTGCAAAGTAAATGAACTAAAGCATGTTTTTTTTTTTTGTCTTCAAGAAATGGAAAAGTATTCTGTTTTCAAAAACTATGAGCCAGGTGATCCAAATTGCAGGATATATGTGAAGAATTTAGCTAAACAAGTTCAAGAAAAGGTAAGTAAACAAGCAAATGAAATATCTGTTAAAAGGGCTTTTTCTTAGCATTTCTCTTACACCTGCACTTTAATTTCAGGATCTTAAGTTCATTTTTGGAAGATATGTTGATTTCCAGTCAGAGGTGGAACGCAATATGTGAGTTCATTTTGTACTTGGTTAGAATTAAGCCTTTTATATTAACTTCTATGACACTTCTGAAAACTGGGATTTTAAAAATAGCCATATGCACATTTTCTGTCTTTCTGCATAAACAAAAAATGTGTTAGACCTAAAAATCTTCATTTATGAAGATGAAAAAATATAATTTTATGACGAGTGACTGAAGACCCTATTATTTTGCCTTTATATTTTCATTCCCAGATTTGCTTTTCGTGACCGTGTGACACAGAATGAACTGTGTAGGTGATTGTGTGTATCTGATCATTTTGCATATGTCCTGTTTGGTAGTACTGCACATCAGTTTGCCATCCTGCAATTTAATATTACCTTTCAGTAAATGGTTTCCCCAGGCAAAATGGTCTCCAAGGATATCACGCCTCCTTGTAGGCTTTGCTTCTGTTTCTGCTATTTCTCCCACCTGAAGCATGAGAATTGTACATTTGTATGCACAATTTGCATTTGTACTGTGAAATCTGCAAGGTTTGTTAAACATGAGTAATTCCCACTTCTCCATTGTGCCCCTAGGTTTGATATCCGTTTGATGAAAGAAGGCCGGATGAAGGGACAGGCTTTCATTGGACTTCCCAATGAGAAAGCAGCTGCCAAAGCACTGAAAGAAGCAAATGGCTATGTCTTATTTGAAAAACCCATGGTAGTTGTATCCTTTGCTTCAAGCATTTACATTATATTCTTTGTAATCTCTGCCAATCTCTATTTTTGTTGTCATAGTGTTCTGCAAAATAAAAAATGTCTTAAGAAAACCAAGCCACATAACACTGTGCACTATTTATGGTAAAAACACAGAGGCAGCTCTTCTGAAATAGGAAAGTAAAAGTGATTTATTTAAGAACAGAATTTGCGGGTCTTACATCTTTGATCCTGCAAAGAAAATACAGAAGGTAATTTAGCTTGCACAACCACTATATTTAAAATAAATACAAGGTTTTTGACTTGGTTTGGTGTATGTTTACAGAATCAAGAACATAAGAAATGTTCCTGTAAGAGTAAGTGGTTCTGCATGGGTTTTTCAGCTGAATTTGCCTCTTTTTGATTGCATAGCACTGTTTTTTTGTGTGAAAGTCCTTTCTTAATTTTCGCTTAAATATTTCATAGTTTATTTCAGTTTCACATTAACCACAGCATCTGCTTTTACTGTTTTTCCTCCCAAATACTGAGACATCAAAGTTATGAATTCATGCTGGGTTGGAAGTTTGTAAATATCAAACATTTATCCTACTGTAGTTACCCTGTTTGCATTTAACTCATTCCCAGTTAGTTCTCCTTATAGACTCTAATAACTCCTGTACTGTGTATCAGTGAGGTCCTAATCTTTGACTAATGGACACTGTTATAATACTTCATACTGTAGTGGAATTGATTCACAGATAAAGGTCACTTTCTAGACTAAATAGCAGAAGTAATCTTTTTTGTCTTTCCTAATTGACTTCTACTTGCCAGACACTTGTAGTCCTTAATAGAATCTCAGCAATTTGCTCGTTCAGCTAGACCAAAACAAGATGCCAACGAAGGGAAAAGAAAAAAGTAAAACCCTCTGCAAGGTATGGACTCTCTGCCTGAAAGCAGTGGGTTGGGGGTTTTTGTAAGTGTTTGGTTTTATTTACTCTCTCTTTAACAGCTTCTTTAGGAATAGTGATGATGGAGAGGAAATGTTCTGTAAAAATTAATTTTCTTAAATGTGTGCTTATATCAGAAAAACAGATTGCAAGGTATATAGTTGGTGTAAGTTTAAAACTTTCCTTTTTCCTGTGTTTAAAACCTCAGAGACCAATATTTACCTAATCCTGATATTGTAGGGCACTTGTTAGTTTTCTTAATCCTTAATCTGCAAAGATAAGGAGACTAATGTGGAATTTTGTGGAATTGGACCACTTGTAGTAATCTTCCAGGGTTTTGGTATTGAAAAGTGTTGCCTCTAACTCCTTCCTTTCCATCCCTGCCATTGTGAAGTGATCCTGAAGAACTGGTTCCAACAAAAAATTTCTGCTAGCTGTAAAGAATCTTTAACTTACAGAAAATGAGTTCTTAGTGCTGTTGCAGTAATCTTTAAATTGTGTGGATTAGTGAAGGATATTCTGTTGGAAAGTGCTTAATGTTGCATCGATCAAGACTTCCTTTGTTGTGGAATGCGTAGGACCTCATTTTTCGTATTATTTGAACATAATGAGAAAGTACCTTCTGGCAGAAAGTTATTTTACTTTTTTTTCTTATCATGTAGCTTTACTTCACTGTTCCTTACTCTGAGTGTGAGAGTAAATCAAGCAAAATCAGCTCTAATTTACCTGAGTGGTTTCATGGCCTGCAAACATTTGTAGAGTGAACTCTAAAATGACCATGTGAAGTAACTGGCAAGAATAAAAAGCATTTATTTCTCAAGCTGCACCCTCTGATACATGAGTTAGCTCAAATTTAAAGGGCACTGACCTTAATTTGTGGTTACAGTTGAGATCACTCTGGTTATGCCTCTGCTTAAAACAAAATTAACTGAAGTTTTAGCCCGAGTACTTATGAAACATTACTTAGCCATGGTGTGTTTTTAATCTGGAGCTTGATCCTTGTTACTCTGAAGAAAACCTCAATTTGAAATAAAGGATGTGAAAATTTGTTTTTGATTTTTACAAATTGGCTATAAAGCCCACAGTGTGGTTATTGTGATGGTAGTAGTTCTGTTTTTAACAGAAATTACTACTCTAATTGTAGGTTCTTCATTCCATCCATTGTCTGAAGATTTTTAAAATCACATTTAGGTTTGTTTCTCTCTTTTTTTGTCTTACTTCCTATTTTGTGTTATTAGTTTGCAAAATCTGTATTTGTCAAATTCAAGATCACTTTTTTATAGGCCTTCTTCTGTACTTGTCGTTGAAAAGAGCCTTGGCTAAAGTGTTTTGTTAGGATCAAGTATTTATGAGACTATTTCAGTCTTGTTTGTCACTCCTTTCTTGTTAGAAAAAAACCTCCTATTTGTATTATTTAGTGTCTACTAAGATGACTAAGGTTTCTTATATTAAAAAAAATTGAAGCATTTTAGCTGTTGGAGAACTTGATAGATGAAGTCTGAGCACTTTAATTCTTTTAGGAATTCCATTTTTTTTTCCAACTCATTTTGTGTACTAATTCTGAATTCCTTAAACATGCTAAATACTTGAATTGCTTAAAGAAAATAACAAAGTGCTTATTTGTTATGATATTGATGGTCAACTCAGAAGCTTCTTCTAGAATGAGCAAACCATACTTAGGCAAATTTTAATTGTGCATCTGAAAGTCTTCCATGAGTTACCATCTTACAAGTGTCTCTGGTGTTCTGTTCATGGGCAGAACTTCTCACTTACCTTGACTGTTTATATGTTGTAATCATAACAATGTGCCACAGAGTTACACAGGTTTCTAAGGATCCATGAGGTTTAATTAAAAATATTTGTTGCTTTTCCCAAATAATGGTTAGGCTGACCCCTATTTCTGCATGATTGTTTTTCTGTTCCTGCTGGAATATTCTGATGGATGCTGATTTATGATGCAGAATTCCATGATACAATCATCTTGAGTCTGCTTGAGTCTAGGGTTGTTTTTCTGTTGTGGGTGGGTTTTGATGGTTTTTTGTTTGGTTTTTTTTTGTTGTTGTTATTTTTGCTTTTTTTTTTCTCTAAAATGGCTTTATCCTTTTTTTTTTTTTTTTTTTGACAAAACAATACATATGGTTTATAAAATACTGCAGAACTCCTTGCTGGCTGAAATGTCTTTTTATTGATGGACTGGCAAAAAGTTCACCTGAAGTGACTTTTTCCTGTAGTTAAAAAACAACTGTTTGGGAGAAAAGTTATGTGGAAGAAACTGATGTTGAGAGCTGTCAGGTTTTTTATAAGGAAGAAGTGGTTTGAAAGCTCTCATTAAAGGGAAACATGATTGGGTTTTGGACCTGATGGAAAGAAAGTGAGTCTGTAAAATGGCAAAGACTTGAAGGAGATGGAAAAATCTTCTGGTGTCCTAATAGTTCCTGTTATCAAAAAATGTATTTACTTTCAAATATGAAGTTTAGTGTTGATGGATTCATCAGCCCTCATTAAATCTCATAAGGGGTTAGAAGAGGCATATTTGCTTTATTTTTTTTGCTAGGTAGCATAAAGTTATGTGTGTGCAATACTGAGAATCCAGTAAAATTAAACCACATTCTGCTGTTCTTCTTTAGAAACATTCCTGCGTAAATACTGCAATAATACTGTCATGCAGAGTGTATCCTTTCTTGTTGTATCCTTTTTTGTGCAATATTTCCTGTAGCACACAACTGCATCTTAATTTTCATACAGAGTAGGTGTGGGGAGGAGTTAACATGTTTTAAGCTTGAGCTAATCTAATAACTTTAAAAAGCAAATTTTTTCAGGGGGGCAAAAAGAAACCAATGAGTTGTCTGTATTGTGTGAATAGACACAATGAAGGTTCTCAGTCTTAAAAGGTGACTTTCACCTTCTTCCTCAGATACCCTACTAATTTGTGGTCCTGTTCCTTAGAGGAACAGTTCTAGCTCCTATCAGCTGATCTGTGTGAAGCTGTGCTGAGCTCACACTGACCAAGTTACCTTGTTTAGTTTAAAAACATAGTAATTTAATAATATGTTGGCTAAAATACATTGCAGAGCAGTTTTAATATTAAGGGGTTGATCAGTATTTTAGAACATTTGATGATTATTGTTGTTCTGGTACATGAGAAACAATTTGGAGTTGATTTAGTTATTACATTCCTTACTTTGTCATTTTGAGTAAAGAAGAAAATTAACAATATCTTGTAATTAAGTATTTGAATCTGGACTAATAATCAACTATTAATCACTGCTACCTTTTTGTTGGTTGGGTTTTGTTATAATGCTGTCTGCACGGAGGTAGTGTTGTTGCTAGTGACCCACATGTTTCCTGTGGGTTTCATACTACATTACTGTTTAACATTCTGTAATCTAAAATTAACACAGTCTGCATTTATTAAGATGAATTTTTCACAGACATTAAGCACTTTTTAAAACACTAAGCATCTTTCAATTTAGTTGTCAAAAGCCAATATAGCACTCCTGGTTTTTTTTTGTAGTTCTTACTTTTAACATGCTTTTGTGATGTTCCAGGTTCCTTTTGTGTTTCATCTCTTTCAAGTATTATCGAGCTGGGGAAGAAGCAGTGTAATCATCAGGACTCTTGAACTGTGCGTAGTAGCATTTCTAAAGTATTTAAGGCAGAGAATAAATTTCCCTGTCTTAAAGATTCTACATATCTTTAAATAACACAAGACTTATTACATCATAAATGTATGTTAGATTGCTTGTGAAATCTAATAAATTATTTCCCTTCTCTTCATTTTGCTGCCTTCTCTTTGTTTTGAATTTTGCTCTTGGGGTTTTGGGCAGAACAGGTCTTCTTGTCTTGAAAACCAAGCAGAAGGGCTGGTGCATTGGCCTGAATTTTTACTGTGAAATTGGGCACTGTTTTTCTTCAGTAATTAACTTGCATTGTTCATCTGCAACTTGAAAACTGTCACTGGTGAGACTGAAGTAATTAAAACCAGAGTAGCGGTTAAAACTGGTATCGATGTGGTCCTTGCCCTGTTGAGGGTAATGATAACAGTGGTCACATAGGATTAGCTACATACTGGGCTGCTTAGTGGAACAGTTTAAAACCATGTGGGCAATACTGCAATGACATTTAATTGACAAGATATTCTAGTCCAGTAGACGTAAAGGCAAAGTTATTCCATGAATGATGAAATCATAGTTGATGGTGTGGGAGCCGACTGATGTAAAAGATTTGTCATTACTCCAGCTGCAAACAGTCTAAATCACTACTATTTGTGATTGGTGGCTGGACCAAAGTCAGTCTATTTTATTCCAATAGGAGCTGGTTTAGCAGATTAAAGTGCTTTTACTGGAATTATTCATATCTTACTTGCTGCATTCCAATGGGGTTCGTTCAATCCTGTGTTCAATCCTAGAGGGCTTTTTCAACTTAAATGCTTCTATGGTTCTACACTATTATGTCCTACCATCCATGTTGAGCTACACGTAGAGGACTATAGGCCCACAAGTGAATTGTCAAAGCGCCGAAGTGGGATAACAGCAAGGTGGTGCTAAGCTCAAGGACACAAGTAGTTTATAAGCAAGTGCGGAAGGCGAAGGTTCAGAGAGCCGTGCCCTGTGCGCGCTGTCCCCGCGGCCCGGCGGAAGGGGCGGTGCGGGCAGGGGGCGGGAGCCGCGCCGCGCGGGGGCCCTGCGCGGAGCCTGCGGGGGCCGGCCCGAGCGGGGTGCTGAGGGCGGTCCGTGGGGAGCCGCCGGAAAGGACTGGGCCGGTGCTGTGCTTCCCGGGGACAGCCCTTGGCACCGGCAGCCGCCGCAGCTCGGCGTGCCCGTCCCGCAGGTCTGAACGCGGCCGCAGGTGTGTTGGCGAGGTGGCGCAGCTCAGGCCGTGACCCAGCGGAATCGGTGCCCCGGGTTCCCGAGCTGGCCGAGGCAGCGCCAGGGCCTTGCTCAGAGGCTCCGCTCCCAGGTTCTCTGCATGGCAATCGGTGTTGCTCTCTTCCACATAGCCTCTTGGCATTTTCCCAAGTTTCAAAAACATTTTAAAGCTAGAGCCTTCAGAGTGCAGTGAGGATTTCAATATCCTCATTCTCTTATTATTGCTTGTATTGAAGGCAGAGCAGCCATAAACCTGTTTCAGAGAAATGAAAATCTACATCGAATCTTTAAGCACTAGGCTTTGGAGCTGGTTTGGGGTAAAGGTACACTATTCTTACTGCTTTATGTATTTACTCCTGTAAGTAAAACTTGCCAATATAATAAATGGCTTTTCTCATCAGTGAAGATGAAATTTTCTTAGCTCATTTTCTCTTAATGTGTATGCTTCCTATCAGGGCCAAAAAGCATTCTTTCCTGAAAATGGAAGCACACAGAACAACTGCTTGTGGCTGAAACTTAATCTGTTTATTTTACTAAAGGTCTACAAGTGAATAATTGTATTAAAGCTATTTTGTTCACAATCAGAAAAGTCAGCTGAATGTACCAAATGCTTAATTCTAAATAACTGCCTACTTGTGAGGAACAGTGATGGCTGATAGCAGCTGTCAGGTTCTGGAAGGCTGGTTCTACACTTTATAAATGGTATATTATGTGCCTAAATTTGCTCCAAAGAGTGCTCCACTGACTGAGAGATATGGATCATCCTTTCCTTGAAGCAGAAATGAGGGCAGTTTTGTAGAAGTCATGTAAAATTTTACATCAACTTATGTCTGAGTAACTATCACAGCAGGTTGGAGTTTTCAGCAGTGCATTCCCAAGTGTGTATTAAATCAGGAAAAGCACGTTTTCCTGTGTGTAACAAACCTGAGGGCCCTTGTGTTCATGTTTAAACCTTCACTGAGGTGTTTGTTTTCCCTTGTGACGGAAATCTGTTTTTCTATATTGTTTCCGTAAGATAACTTTTTATAAAGAATAGTTACAGACTCTTGTTACTTTCCTGTAAGTATTTTGTTATTTAAGGGAAGTATTAGTTCAGCCATTCGTTTGCAGAAGTTTTTCTTGTAGGACTTTGAATCTCAGACTCTCTAAATCAACTTCTAAATGGGAAGAGTGCAAAATAAGGTTCTCAATAGAGAAAATCTTGGCAGTTATTTAGTTTCTGGTTTGTTACACGTTGTATCTCTAGGTGAGGAAGAGGAGAGGCAATTTTGATATAAGGATTGTTGTCTTTGTCCCTAAATAAATACAAATAGGGTATGAGTTGGGAAATGCAGTTCCTAGCCTAGCGCATCAGAAGGAAATGTAGCGTCAAGCCTCTGGAAAGCTCCTTTTTCAGAACTCAGGCACTCGGAAGGAGATTTCTTGGGTATGGAGCTTCACAGCACTTACTAACATCTGCATGTCATTGCCCATGTTCTTAAAAGGAGAATATCTCCACACAAATCCAGCAGGTGTGCAGAGATAAGACATTTAGCATTTCTGGGTTTGAGTCACAATAATGAATGATTTCTGTGTCTGAGAGATCTTCCAGGTTTCAGGCTGTTGTTTGAATGAGAGATGTCATGTATATCATGAATGACAGACTCGTGTAGGTTGAACTTTGAAAATATCTGGGGTTTCATAATAAATCATGGTAAGAAATATGCTGCCTCTGCAAGGTCTTATCCAAATATGTTCAAGTTGTAGTAGCATGATTTGGAAAAGAAAAAAAAAAGATTATTTTCAAGGATTAATAGGAATGTAAAATGTACATTAAATGTGCATCTCATTTCATGTACATTAAAATCAGAAACAAAATGTCCATTTCAGTCTATATAAGTATTCCTTTGCCCTTTGGGGTAGTTTTTGGCTTTATACTAATAAAACCACAACTTTTGCATTCTGGAGGCAGCTTCCATTCGGCAACATCTGAATTTTAAGTGCATGAAAGCAAAGTTACTTTAGTACGGAAATTTGATAGAGTTTGGATAAAATACAGTTCTCATACAAAGTAACAGGTAGGTAACACCCCGAGATGGGTGTTTATCTTTAAATGTGTATTTTCTAATGTGTACTTTACCCTCTTGCAGGAACACTGACAGTAAGAAGAGCACAGCTGATCGCAGAGCACTGGATGGAGATCTATTTACTGCTGTTAATTGTAGGGCTTTGTTGGGGGCAGTACAACCCCAACACTCTCCCTAAGAAAACCTCTATTGTGCATCTCTTCGAATGGCGCTGGCAGGATATTGCTCAGGAGTGTGAACGCTACTTAGCTCCTAATGGATTTGGAGGAGTTCAGGTATGTCTGCTCCTATCAGTAGGTAGTGAAATTGCTACATAGAGGATAATTTGTTTTTCATAGAAAATGTTCAATTTGTCAAAGGACAGGTACTGAACAAGAAAAATAGAAATCGGCAATGGAAGTAGTAAATGCTGACAAATACATACTTCAGCTATCTTCACGTAAGCGTGAATTTATTTCATTGCTCCAAAGTGCATGTTTTGCAGTCTATAGTATTACATTTAGATGAATTAGAATTGCACATCACTTGCTAAATCTTTTTTTTTTACTGCTGTGAAGAGTCACCTATGTTTATCCTCTTGATACTATTTAAATCAAGGGAAGGTCTTAAGAGCTAGATAAATGTAAAATGAAACTATGACTGAATAAAGGGCTTCCAAAAAAAACCAAAAAAAAAGCTGAAGGTTTTAAATAATTAAGTATAAAATGCTGCTACGTGTGTCCACCCAAACTGGCAAGTTTCTGTGTAGCACAGTGTCACAGTAAGCCACTAAGAGACCCTTCTTTGCAGGAACATGGCGTGAGCAGGTGGAAGTGAACTGAATGCAGGTTCTGGTGAAGGTGTCCAGAATGCCCTGTGTGAGTCAGTTCTGTCTGAATGACAGACACGTGTTTTTGTGGAACCTGAGCTGGCACTCGGGTGGGGTAGCTTGGCAGGAGAGCAGCCACTTATTAAAGTATTTCTGTTTGCCTGTCAGACTGCTTGGGAAAAAATGGTGTGAAAAAAATTGGTGCTTGTCTCTCGCAGACGAAGAGACTGCAAGCTGGCCTGAGTGAGAACTTTCCCATAATTTTCAAATAATAATTTTTGCTTTGGAACTTTCTGTCCAGGCACGCAGACCAGATGGACTTTAAATTGATTTTTCAGACTGTGGCCTGTGCCTGCTTATCATTTTAATCCATTCTGTGGCAGGATCTCAGGAAATTTTTTTCAGATGATGACTTGCTGAGCTGGTTAGGAAGGTGTGGCAGCTAAGAGGCTGTAGGAGTTCTCAGTTAAGAGGCTGAGAAATGGTTGGATCAGGTTGTTGTGCCCAGAGGCTTGGAGGTAGCAGCAAAAGCTTGTTGCCTGAAATGTATCCCGAAAAGTCTGTAAAAGGAAGAGGTATAACTCACCTGGAAACCTGCAAGAAGTAGGTCAAGTATATGCTCATCCAAAACATGACAAAAACAGAAAGTTGGGTCAGTTTTCAAGGCAGGATGTTATGTCAGTTGTTATGCAGTCACTTCCTTCCGCTGCTGGCCTAGTTCTTCAATTTCAGTTGCTTCTTTTTGAAGCTTGAAGCCACTAAGAAAATTAAGCCACTCTGTTCATGGACCTAATTTTTATACTGGGTTTCTACCGGTATAATTTATTATACTGGGTTTCTACCTGTTGAAGGCCAGGCCTAAGTCTTTTGTTTCCAGCACTACAGTGTACGCAGAGGATACTGAGGATCTAAGTAGGTTATGTTCTTTCTCTAAAAATACTAGGCAAATAAATTAACCATTTTCAGTGTCCTGTTACCAAGTGCCCTTGTTTTATTGACAGATTTCACCTCCAAATGAAAATGTTATCATTACTGACCCCCAGCAACCATGGTGGGAAAGATACCAGCCTGTCAGCTACAAGCTGTGCACAAGATCTGGAAATGAAACTGAATTTAGAGACATGGTAACCCGGTGCAATAATGTTGGAGTAAGTACTCGTAAAACCTTCTGGTGTTTACAATGCAAAGATTTTGCCAAGCAGTGATTCTACCATTAAAAAAAATGGATGCAGTGTTACCTGCCTGTCTGCTGAGCTGCATGTTTTATCACCCTTGCTGTATGCTAATAAGAAAAAAATGGAGTAAAATATTGGCTGAAGCAAGCAAGCAGAAGTAGGGGGATAGGGCAGGAGGTATGGGAGAGAGAACATTAATTAGTGCTGCTGTGGGAAGTAGCTTTTTCAAATTGTTATGTGGATACTGTTCTCTAGGTGCACATTTATGTGGATGCAGTGATCAACCATATGTGTGGAGCTAATGCTGGGGCTGGTGACCATGCTACTTGTGGAAGCTATTTCAATTCAAAGACTGAAGATTTCCCAGCTGTGCCCTATTCTAGCTGGGACTTTAATGATCATAAATGCAAATCTAGAAGTGGAAACATTGAGAATTATCATGATATATCTCAGGTAAACCTACAACTATGGTTTTCGTGTACATCTGTTCCTGTGCTGTGATTTCTTTGCTCTCATTTACAGCAAGACATTTTTTTAAAAGGAATTTAAAAAAAACTCATAAAAAGACATCCAAATTAATAACAGAGGTTAGTATTGCTATCAGGAACACCACTTCTTTAAAGGGATAGCTGTACTTGAGACAATGTCTCAATTTCAGATTCAGACAAATGTGCTTAGGTGATTAATAAAGGTATTTTAAAGCTCATAAAATCTATTTAGTGTGTTAAAAAAGGTAGAAGTTATTATTTGCCTTTTATTGTAATTTCGAAGTTTTCCTTGGTCTCAATTTAGGAAGAGAGGGATAAATTCAATTTCTTATTGCAGCTTCTGTGTAGATGACTTGGCAAAGAAAAGAAATGCATGGGGAACAAAGGCTACTGGAGGTTTTATTTGGCATCGTAATATAGGCCAAGAACGTTCAAAAGGTGTGTAGAACACTAGCTGAAGTTTATTAGGTGAGAAGGTTTGATTTCAGGTTTTTTGCCCAGGTGAGGGACTGCCGCCTGGTCAGCCTGCCGGACCTGGCGCTGGAGAAGGACCACGTGCGCTCCAGGATTGCCGGGTACCTGAACCAGCTCGTCGCCATCGGCGTCGCGGGGTTCCGGATCGACGCTGCCAAGCACATGTGGCCTGCAGACATCAAGGCCATTTTAGACAAGCTGGAAGACCTAAACACTCAGTGGTTTCCTGCAGGAACTAAACCTTTCATTTACCAAGAGGTAGTCTTTATTTTTCTTAATTTTACTTCACAAACATATTTCTTGCAGGCCCAGTACAGACTCAGTCACACATGGCAATGCTTTGCATGGGCTGAACCCAAGCAGATCTACAGAAATCATCCTCAGTATCGTCCTTAACCATAATCTGCAAATATCTAATCTGTCCATAAATGGTAATTGATGTGCAAAATTCCCCACTTGTTTTGGACCTTCTAGAATTAGATAACCTGGAAGTTTTATTGAGATGAAATTTACTACCTTGAAGTTAGTGTAAAAATTCTGTTGGTTTAAAAAAGATATTTCATTTCCTGAATTTTAAATTCTGGACAATAAATTGCAACAGAAGACATAAATGTTGATTATGGGCAGAAAGTTTATTTTCCAAATGCATAATGACTATTACTTTTAATTCTGAATTCGTGTTTTACATTTGAATAACAAATTGGAACAAGCAGGTAAGTGTTGGTTTCAGTCAGCAGAAGCTAAACTTGCTGCACATATTTTATTAAATTAGTATCTTGCCTGCAAAGTCTAGGCAAATAGAAATGTTCTTTAGCTCTATGGTGAAAGGATGCTGCCCAACTGTTTGAAGCAGAGGCCTTGGTGACCATACTGAATATAAAGTAAGTACAGCCCAAGCCTTAATCATGCATAAGTGATCACTTGGGGTAAGGAGATATAGGATAGAGATGGAAAAGAGGTTCATAGCTGGGCTGAGATAAAAGGAAAAAATAGCCTTACATACAATTTTGCAAGAAAGCCAAATAACATAATTAGCTCAAGTATTGTCCCCTTGCTTAAAGCAATGTCTGAAGCAGTGTCTTATTTGTTTGGTTTTTGAGTAGAAAGACATGCTTTATCTTTCCTGTACCAGGTAATTGACTTGGGTACTGAGCCCATCACAGGCAGCCAGTACTTTGGAAATGGCCGAGTGACAGAATTCAAGTACGGTGCCAAACTGGGGACAGTGCTCCGCAAGTGGAACGGAGAAAAGATGGCCTACTTAAAGTAAGGATGAAGGTGCTGCAACTTCTCCAGGATTCACTGGATACACCAGTTGACAGGGAAGCTTCAAGTCTGTGTTTTTGTTTAGGAACTGGGGAGAAGGCTGGGGCTTTGTGCCTTCTGACAGAGCCCTGGTCTTTGTGGATAATCACGACAACCAGAGAGGACATGGGGCCGGTGGAGCTTCTATTCTGACCTTCTGGGATGCCAGGTAAGGGATTGCTCTTGTCTGGGTGATGCTTCTTGCTCTTGCTTGTTTGCCTGTGTGTTCTCTGGAAGGTTCCTCTGTCTCATTCCTTGTTTGTCAACCAAACAGGCTCTATAAGATGGCGGTTGGTTTCATGCTTGCCCATCCCTATGGGTTCACACGTGTGATGTCAAGTTTTCGCTGGCCGAGACATTTTGAAAATGGAAAGGTGAGCTATTAATGCTGAGGATCCGTCCCTGAGGATTAAGGGTGAGAACGGGGCCAGAGAAGTAGTCCAGTGCATTTCAGGTTGTCAAGCGGTTTCCCCGTCCCAGGCTGGATGTAGCCAGTGAAACTTTGATGCTCCCTCTAGCTTTGCTCTGCAGAGTGGTTATCTGCATTTTGAGTCAGAAGATACTCACAGAATTCACAGAATGACTAGGTTGGGAGAGACTTACAAGATCATCAAGTCCAACCCATGCCCTAACACCTCAACTAAACCATGACACTAAGTGCCACATACAGTCTTTTTATAAACACATCCAGGGATGGTGACTCCACCACCTCCCCGGGCAGACCATTCCAGAGCTTTATCACCCTTTCTGTAAAAAAACCTTTTCCTAACATCCATCCATCCATCTATCTATATTTGGCGCAGCTTTAGACTGTGTCCTCTGGTTCTGTCAGTTGTTGCTTGGAGAAAGAGACCAGCCCCACCTGACTACACCCACCTTCCAGAGAATGGTAGAGAGCTATAAGGTCCCCTCCGCTTCTCCTTTTCTCCAGGCTAAACACCCCCAGCTCCCTCAGTCGTTCCTCACAGGAATTGTTTTCCAAGCCTCTCTCCAGCCTCGTTCCCCCTCTGGATGCACTCAAGCATCTCAACATCCTTCCCAAAGTGAGGGGCCCAGAACTGGGCACAGCACTCAAGGTGTGGCCTCACCAGAGCTGAGTACAGGGGAAGAATGACCTCCCTGCTCATGCTGGCCACACTATTCTTGGTACAGGCTAGGTGCCATTGGCCTTGGCTGCCAGGGCACACTGCTTGCTCGTGTTCACCCGGCTGTCGACCAGTACCCCCAGGTCCTTTTCTGCCTGAGCACCATCCCCAGCCTATAATGCAGGGGGTTATTGTGACCAAAATGCAGGCCATAAATCTGTCTTTTTAATGTCAGGATGTCAATGACTGGTATGGACCCCCAAGTAACTCAGATGGCTCCACAAAAGCTGTCACAATCAACCCTGACACGACCTGTGGTAACGACTGGGTTTGTGAACATCGCTGGCGTCAAATCAGGTAGGGCACTGGGGAGAAACAAGAAGTAAAAGCAGTTGCTTTTGCTTGCTGCTCCATGTGGCTTTTGAGGTGTTGCAGGTGCAGTGGCAGACACTGCTTGTGTTTTCAGGAACATGGTTATCTTCCGTAACGTGGTGGATGGTGAGCCTTTCTCCAACTGGTGGGACAATGGCAGCAATCAAGTGGCTTTTGGCCGTGGTAACAAAGGCTTCATCATCTTCAATAATGATGACTGGTGAGTAAAAGGGAAATAAATTATAATTTATTACGATTATAAGAAAATATTATGTATTGAATATGTATTTTAAAAATCTAGTTCATAATGAAACCTTTTCAGATGTTGCTATCTCAAATAGATCTTTCTAATGGATGGCTTAATTATTGGCAATTTAAACATAGCATTTTCTGCTCTACCATAGACACTCTTCACTCTTGGCAGCCTTGTAGTGTGGTCTTTCTATTTCCCAGTTCTGAAGCTGGCTGTGTCACCCTGTCACAACCAGTAAACTCTAAATTTACAGAAGTAAGGGAATTTGTAAACTCAGGAATGTGTTCTAAATGTGACAGTTTTAAAAACTGTATTGAAATAGTTTACGCAAGAGCGAGATGTTAAGAGAACAGGAGTATGTCAGGGCTGTAATAAGTAGCTGTAGGTTGTGGTGATGAGCAATTTGAAACATGTAGTGATTGAATAGTTTCTGCAGTGTCCAGAGAAGTGCTAGAGGATAATTCCAGACTTACTTAATGTCTGAGGTTTCCAATACGATTTGAAGAGCATTTTAGAGTCCTCATGATGCTTACTGCATTTCATTCTTTTCCAAAGGTCTTTGAATGCATCTCTGCAGACTGGTCTGCCTGCTGGCACTTACTGTGATATCATTTCTGGGCAAAAGGAAGGTGACTTCTGTACAGCAGTTGAAATTCATGTTGCTGCTGATGGTATAGCTAATTTCCTAATTGGGAATGAAGAAGAAGACCCATTCATTGCCATTCATGTTGATGCTAAATTATAACCAAATGTGTTGTGTATGTGCTGTTCCTTCTCCTCTGTGTCTTTGTTAACAGCAAACATATATGCAGAATGTCCTGGCTCTCAGGACTGCATGAACCAAGACAGAGCAAAGCATGTTGGCTGTAATACTAATGAAATGGTGAGCAGCTGCTGTACAGAGATAGGAGCTGGTGGTGCCAGTGCAGATCTGGGAGTGGACTATACATCTGTGTGCATTTGTAAGTGTACTTTATTCAGTTATGGTACTAATAAAAAAATGGAAGGAGAAGATTGACATTATTAAATTTAAAATCGTGATGCTCTGTGCAAAAGTGGAATCGCAGTTCTCTTTAGGGCAAGCAGGATTGCTAAAATTGACAGGATATCCAAAAACCAAGAGAAGACCCCTTTGTGCTGAAACATGGCACAATTCAAGTGGATTTTCTAGTCTTCGTATTCTCTTAGCATATTGTTTTATTGTTAGTAGACTCAAGTTTATTCATGGAGGATTGTCGCCAAGACATTGATCTTACAAGTCAATTCCAAATGAAGACCTGAAATAATTTCATGAAGAAAAGTCAAAGGTCTTTTTTTTTGAAGGAGGAAATTGTAGGAAATGCAAGAAAGGACTTGGAAAACAGCTCTAGCTTTCAAATTCAGTTATATATCAGGCAGCTAAAACTCATCTTCACTATCACTTGCATCTAATTTTGCATTTTGTTCCTTGACTCTGGTGAATCATTGATCACTTAAAATGAGGTGAAACACCTTATGCAAAGTTTCTGCAGGAGAGGCAAATGCAACTGTGATCACTTTCCATCAGCTGCTCTGCACGACTGTGTGAAGGAAACCAGTAACAGTTCATAGCAGGGACTGGGCAATGACACCAGAGAAAGATGATGTATGAGAACGTGTCCGTTCCTGGTTGCCAGTGGGATTCACCTAGTGAAGACCCCAAGCCTCTTGTATGATAAATCTGTTACTGATTAAATATTGCTGTTGTACTGGTTTTTCACGGCCTGGTTTTTGGTAGCCAGGGTATCACCCAGGTGGCTCCTGTGAGAAGCTGCTGGAAGCTTCCACTGTTTCTAGCAGGGCCAATCCCTGACTGTTCTGAAGATGGACATGCTGCTGGCCAAAACTGGGCCAATGAGAGAGGTTGGTAATACTTCTGTGCTAACATACTTAAGAAAAAAATCAAAACAAAGACAGTTTTTCTTCTAGTTAGAAGAGGAGGTGAAGAACACACCTTGGACATACCAAGGTCTGTGCAGAAGGAGGGGGAGGAGGGGCTCCAGGTGCCAGAGCTGAGATTCCTCTGCAGGCTGTGGTGATGCCCATGGTGAAGAAGCTGTGCCTGTGCAGCCCATGGGGATCCATGGGGGATGCAGAGATCCGCTCACAGCCCACAGGGGCTGTGCCCATGCCAAAGTGGGTGGATGCCTGGAGGAGGCTGTGGTCCAGTGGGAAACTTGGTGGAGAGAGGGGGCCCTTGCTTCCAGGCTGGAGCAGCCTTTCCTTAGAGAACTGCACCCTGTGGGAAGAGACCCATGTTGCAGCAGTTTTGGGAGGCTGTGTGCTCATGAGGGGGATTCACGCTGCAGCAGGTGACATTTGGCTGCTGCTCTTGAGAGCAGACCCATGCCAGGGCAGTTCACGGAGAAATGTCTCCTGTGGATGGAACCCCATAACCTCAGAGGGGGAGGACTCCTCTCCCTGAGTAGCAGAAGAGAATCTCAGTGATGAACTGACCAAAACCCCCATGCCCTGTCTCCCTAAGCTGTCTGTGGGACAGAGGAGAGGCTGGAGTGAAATAATGTTTTAAGGGCTTATTTTACTTCTCATTTTCTACCTCTGATTCTGTTTGTAATAAACTCACTCTGCAACCTTAAGTTTAACCCCTTCTGCCCTTAAATGTTTTCTTCTAGTCTTTATCTCACTCATGACCCCTTTGTTAATTTTTTTCCCTCTTCACTGCCCAGATGTGGTGGGGGAGGATGAGCAAGCAACTCTCATGGGTGCCTGGTGTTGGGCCAGTATAACACCATGACATTTGTTCATACCCTGGTCAGAACTCAGTCTAATCCCAAGAGTGATCACCTCTGAATGCTGGCAAACACATTCATTCTCTTAATGCTGTTAGATTTCCAGTCATCTTTCGATCAGCTCCCACTCCTTTTACGTTCCAGAGCCCCCTTTGAGGGTCTGTGTGTTATGTTTTAGGGCAGGTATTTAGAGACACAGACCATGCTACACAAGAAAAAATGTTTATTACACTAGTTTACCAGTATTTATTGTTCCATACAAAATATTCCATTCGGACTCCTTTGCCCCTGTCCCCTGAGTAGCACAATCTTCTCGGTTACCATTTTTTCGCCAGCAATGTCCTTGTCACATTGTTTTGCCATTGCGGTCAGAGTGCCCAGACAGGATATCTTAACTTTTGTCCTTGCCTTGGATTTATCTCTCCTAGCGCCAAGAGGATGGTGGCCCTGCCCAGTTCAACCTCAGCAGCTGTCTGATTTTCCACATTTTGGAGCACTTTTGATAAAGTCTCTCTTTGTTTATGTGCTTTGGAAAGAGTGCAATTCTGGATTTGGGTGCACTGCTCCTGGGCCACTTTGTTTATGGTGGCGTATAATCCTTGTGAAAAGGTACTTTATCTTCAGCTGTTGGGTTATTCAGGAGAAAAAACAACCCAAAGGAATGATATTGAGCTACCTATCGAAATAATAACTGATAACATTGATCCATGTGAATTTTGACACCTGCTACAGGAACTTTGTCATCCTGCAGGCACATAAATAGCCAGTGAAGAGAGCACAGCCTTACACTGGAGGCACCATGCAAGTCCTTCTCCTCCTCCTCGCAGCCGCAGGGCTTTGTTGGGGCCAGTACAACCCCAACACTTTCCCAAAGAGAACCTCTATTGTGCATCTCTTCGAATGGCGCTGGCAGGATATTGCTCAGGAGTGTGAACGCTACTTAGCTCCTAATGGATTTGGAGGTGTTCAGGTGAGTTGTTTCCTGTGAGTAGTAGGAAAATGGCATTGTAATATTTGATTAATAAGCTATTAATAATTAATAATTTGATTAATAATGCCTGAATTGGAGACAGTAATCTCGAAGTAACTTTGCTGCTGGGGAGGGAGGGTAGGAAGAAGTAACTGCTTTTAGAAGCAAACCTAACCCTGCAGGACCCTCTAGGAATGAGCAAAGGTGAATGTCTAGAGATCAGTTACAAGGGGGCATGCTGACAGGCTTCCCCTGAAAGCTAAATAGAAGGTAAAGCTCTTTGCCTTCTTCTAAAGGAAGTATGGAAGCAGGTTTGGCATTACAGGTAAAAATAATTCCTGTGGCTTCGGCCCTTCCATGCACATGTCCTGGATAGCAGGCCCATGCTGGAACTGGGCAACTCACAGGAACAACCCAAAATGTTTCTCTTGCCAGTGTACAAGACAGACATCTCACAGACCTGAACTTCTGCTGTGGGAGAGAAACTGGCTTGGGGACTAACTTTCCTCTGAGGGCAGAGGTCCTGGGCGCAGATTTTGCCCGTAAAATGTTAAAGTAAAATGATTTCATTTTTTATCAAAGTACATAATTTCATCTGCAGGTTTCACCTCCAAATGAAAATATTGTCATTACTAGCCCGAACAGACCCTGGTGGGAAAGATACCAGCCCATTAGCTACAAGATCTGCACTCGATCAGGAAATGAACAGGAATTCAGAGACATGGTGGCCAGATGCAACAATGTTGGAGTAAGTGCCTTGAAAATCTGTCTGATATGGCAAGAAGTGCTGTATGAGCTGAGGGAAGGTGCCGCTGTCCTCAAAGGAGGTGTAAACTGAGAAGAAACTGAAAGGGAAAATAAGCAACTTAATAGTGGTGTGGCAAAGCCCTGGCTATCACTTCACATTGGCTACAAAACATACTGAAATGCACAAATTGCTTTTCCAGGTTCGTATCTATGTGGATGCTGTCGTCAACCATATGTGTGGCGCTGCAGGTGGCTCAGGCACACATTCTACCTGTGGAAGCTATTTCAATACTGGAAAAGAAGATTTTCCAGCTGTACCATACTCTGGCTGGGATTTCAATGATGGCAAATGTCACACTGGAAGTGGAAATGTTGAAAATTATGGTGATGCCAATCAGGTAACTTCCCCTGGAAAATTTTTCAATTTTTTTTTTTTTTTACATATTCTGTTAACGCTACAGTAAAATGAAATGGTGGAGTGCCTCACAAAACCTGTGCTTAGTCACTTGACAAGTGAAGGAAGTAGTGACCATAGGTACGTATGGCCCAATACATTCTAAGTATGGAGGAATTGGGAACCTATGTGCCAATACTTGCTCCTGAAGTGAGACTGGCATACTCAGCTCAGTCTGTGAGCTCATTTTTACAGCTTATACACTCAGCTGATCATGATGAGGAGCCCCCTTGGAAAATTGCAGCAGTGCAAGGTGGTGCTGTAGTTGCACACTTACCGGTTTTTGTAGTTAGAATATGTAGCAGTTCTTTCCAAGCTCTCCCTTCAGCCACTTTGCAACAATACGTTGGAATGTTTCTGCACTTGCACTACTTCATGTAGGGCTTGTCCTTCATGGGCTCACCTGGCTTGTGCTGTGGTAATCCCTATAAGGGATATTTCAAATCCTCGATTACAACAAGTTAAACGTATTTCCATTACAGTGTCCACTCCCTGTTCCTTTGGACTAGACCCTCACATTTAATTTTGCAATCAACCCCTCCCCTTACCCCTGCTCTGGTTTGGACTTACCCAGGGACTGCAGCCCCTCAGGGCTGTACCTGCCCCAAGTGCAGCCATTTCTGTGAGCCACAGGCTCATCAGGGGGACGTGGCTGCTGCATGGATTTATCCAGAGCCACAGGGGCTCTGAGGGGCTGCTGTTCCAGCACAGCCCTGTCCATGGGCCTCAGTGTCCCCAGAAACAGATCTGCTCCAGTGTGGCCTCACCCACAGCCACTGTCCTCTCAGACAGCAAAGCTGCCCAAGCTGGCCTCGCTCCTGGCTGCCATCCCTGCAGGGTGTTCCTGCTCTGCTGTGGCTTTATCTATGGCCACATCTTTGAGGTGCTCCAGCCCAGCCTCATGAACTGCTGCTGGTGCTTCAAGCTGTGCCTGCTGCAGCACGGAGCTGCCTTGGGCCCTGACGGAGCTGCCCTTGGGTCTTCAGGGGCGCCCCTGCTGTGGCACTGACACAGCCACAGCCACAGGCACTTTAGATGTTCCTGCTCTGGTGTGGACTTTTCCATGGCCACAGGCAGTTCAGATGTTCCTGCTCTGGTGTGGACTCTTCCATGGCCACAGGCAGTTCCGATGTTCCTGCTCTGATGTGGAATTTTCCATGGCCACAAGCACTTCAGATGTGCCTGTCCCACCTGGACTCACGCACAGGTCACAGTCCTGTGGCTGGAGTCCTCTCTGGAGTTCCACGTGCCCAGTCCAGCAGCACAGGAGCAGCGGCACTGCCCCGGCCGGGTGCCAGCCCAGGCCATCGCCAGTGGTGGGATCAGAGTGTCCCAGGGTGAGGGGATCAGCAGCACAGGCTGCAGCTGCAGCCAAAGCACAAAGCAGCCACCACTGAGCCCTAGACTCCAATGCACAGTGAGGCAAGTGAGCTCCATGGCAAGCACAGGAGGCTGTCAATTATTAGCCAAACAGCAATAACAGCTGTAAATTCCATCTAGCACATTAATCATAGCCATTGTTAATTTGAACCATTTGAGTCCCATGTTGGGCACCAAAGGGACTTTGTGGTTTAGCTCAGCCAGCAGCTAAACACCGCTCAGCCTCCTACTTTCAGTGGGATGGGGCAGAGAACTGGATGAGTAGAACTGAGAAAACTCATGGATTAAGATAAAGACAGTTTAATAGGTAAAGAGAATGCCACACATATAAGTAAAATAAAACAAGAATTTATTCACCGCTTCCCATTGGAAGGCAGGTGTTCAGGTGTCTCCAGGACAGTAGGGCTT